GTTCTATGACTTGACCAAATGTGAATATTTGATCTATACATCCATTTCAGGTTGTGGCAACCAGCCTAGTTTTCTCCAGTGTGCTCCTCTCACGAGCTCTAGTTGTCCATTGAACTATTATTGAAGCTATTATTTTAGACGTTGTATTACTTAAACTGATTCCTCGGTGACTGTCACGCGAAGAATTCTATCCTTTCTTATAGACCGGGACGACCAGTGATTGAGACCAATCAGATGGGATCAAATCCAGTTCCCATATCCTACCTGGAATCTCAGTCGATCTTGCTGCTAAAACTGGGCCACCATCCTTAAAAATCTCAGCGGGTGATCTTTCAGCGCCTGCTGCTCTCACTCGTCCTAGATTACCTATAGCCTTTTCAACCGCATTAAGAGTTGGAGGTTGATTGGGGATGGTGGACCACCTAAGTGTGGCTGAAGACCAGTTGAACTGTTCCCCGTATTGTTCTGTCCATCGATCCAGTCTCTTGAAATGAGAGTGCATAACAGACCCATCATTTTCTGAGGGAGACTCGCTAGAGGCCGGAATTCTAATATTAGTTTCTTTGATAAGTCTGAACAGTTGCCTGCTGTTACCCAATCACCGCCACCTTTTCTGTCTCTTTTATTTTCTCTAAACACTACCGTTGGCAGTCATTGAGTAAGCTTTTTATCAGCCTTGGTTTAAGCTGACCCTGCTTTTCGTGATTCAGAGCCATACACGATAAGTTTCCAAACATCTATCAGTTCAGTAGAAGTCACGAAAATCCACTGATTTAGATTATTGGCAGATATCATTGCTGTCCCCACAGCTTCCTGGATAATATCCCAAGCTGCCTTGGGGTGGGTAACTCTCACAAGGTTGTCTATTTTTCTAGTCATTGCTAAAATGCTCTCGTGGCTTTTTTATAGTTAAGTAGAACTATAGTGGGTTTCCTTGCTATGTCTTTATTCCGTCCAGTAAGTCGCAGACAAATACGCTTTCGTACTGGAGCATGATCTGCGTCTAAACATGCGCTCCAGAAGGTTAGATAGCTTACCGTAAAATCCATCTTTTACTTCATCTAAACTGCACTCAGTCGGGGCATAGGCAGAAACAACGAAGAGGCAACGGAGTGTCTCAATATATCCGAATCCTTACTGTCTCATTCAGTCGAACAGCGAATAAGCGAGTGTCTACTGGAATCCAGCCTAGGAGAACTAGATCTGCTTTAAAACTCAATGCTTTACCCCCAACAGTTAGGCCACAGGAAGCAGAAGTGGGGCTTCCAGATACACGAAGTGTAAGTCGAGTTGGTTTTTTATCTTGACGAAGTGAGGTCATATGAATGTCTCTACTCGGATTCTGTATGTACGTTTCGGAGACACAGAGTACATTAGTGGCGCAAAGCTTTAAAGTCTTATCTGAGGAAGCCTGTTGTCCTGTTTGGCACAAGGTCCTAATATTTAGTTTAGAGCTGCGTTTCAGGAGATTAGGGATAACGTTTCGTGCAGTCGAATCGTTTGCGTTGGCGGCGCTAGATGATAAGGGAATGAGAGGCGAGGCAAGGTGAGGTGTGACATTTTTAGGATAGAAATTTTCTAACCTCTTCCTTCCGTTGTCAGAAGGCAGCATCGCTGCAGATGCTGGTTGTTCGAGGGAAACACTGCTGTCACACTCCTCTACAGTCAGCAGTACAAATTTGCCCTCAGAACTTAAGCTGCTGCTTTTGGTCCCCCAACCAACCTGCCTGGCATGGTTTGATCTAAAGGAATAGGCGTTCCAGCCAATAAAGCTCGGTTGAGTCATCACGAAAAGCAAGCCCGAGCACCACGTCAAGTTAGCAGCTACAGCCATATATATATATATATATATATATATATATATATATATATATATATATAATTCCAAAGGATAAGGGATCCGGGTTTTACTCGGTCACCTGCAGGTCCAAACCTCACTCTACATACTTCGGTTTCAGAAACCGGGCAAAACCATTCATTATCAGACAAAGAATGTGGTTCAAATTGGTAAATGAATTACAATGTGATTCGTATAATGAAAAATACTAGCTCTTACCAAGTTCATCCGTTTTTCTGAAGACTTGAACAGTAATCGGTTTGTTAGCCAAAACTAACTGAGCCAGCAGGTTTTCTAGATCGCCTAACTTCGTAATTTGATTACTGATACTGTCAGTGTTCTTTCGGCTTATACCCAAGTTTACGCCATCAATAGAAGCTAATATATCACCTTTCTGAAATTCACAGATATCTGCTGAACTACCTAGTTGTATGTCAATGAAACAAATGTAAACAAATAGTTTGAGAAATGCCGAATAAACAAGCTTGAATTATCAATGAACTACGGAAAACTGATTTACCTGAGGAGCATTATATCAAATATGATTTTACAGTTATCAAATGTCTGAGCTTTGGTGTCGCACAAAAATAACAGAATAATTCTTATCGTCGAAACTGAGATTTAGATTGATCTCAGCTAGGTCATGATTGGAAACATTAGACAGCCGTTTCTTTCTAGAATGCAAGTCCTCAGCAAGCGTGCGTTCATGACCTTGCATCCGGGGATCGAACCCAGGGATTAGGAATCGCGCGCGGAAGCTTAACGTTTAGACTACTAAGCCGGCATCCAATGATGTCGATGCTTAGAACTAAACGACCTTTCAGTGCTTTCAGGCCTTTAATGATGGTCTAGCTAAGATCGATTCATGATTTAAACTACGAAAATCCTGCAATCTTCATCAAACCCCCTATACTAGTAAGATACAGATATTTTTCTTGATCGCATTATAAAATAACCTAGTTCTTTTGATACACGCACCAAAAGAACAAACCTAAGAAACAAACTGAAGAATTATAACTGGAAAAAAAGTCTGAAATGTTGTGTTAGTGACTAAGAAGGTGGGAGGGAGTACCTATTGTGACACTAGAAATACGAAACGAGGATGAAAATAAATCATGAAGTGCTGAAGAAACCTCACAACAGATTATAAGCAGAGACAGATTGTCGATATCAGTAGAACAAGTGCAGTCCTGTCACTGGGAAGATTCAAACTACCATTACAAATGAATTGAACTCCACCTTACAGCACAGGCCAGTGGCTGTCTTAACTCAGTAGCTAATTGAATAACGTGATAGCATTTGAAGCGAATGGTTCTAGGTTTGAGTGTAAGGGTGAATTTCAAATCTGGGATGCAGGTACATCCACCTGAAAACTTTCAAATAGGAAGATAAGCGCGTCCTAGGTTCCATTGCTGGTCACTAATCCATCTCTGCTTATAATGCTTGTGACCTAATAACTATTTACAGGTAATCCGCACAGGATGCACATAAGCTAAAACAGACTGATCAATTGCAGCTCTAACTATCAATAGGAAGATTCCACCTACCAATACAAATGGACTCACAGAAGATTAGTTTTTTAGAAGATTCTTGTATAATAAGTTCAGAATGCGGTGAAATTTTATTCTAAATATCGTTGATTTACAAACATTTAGAGGTTGATGCTGGTGCTAACACTATTTACGCAGAAAGAATGAACACCAAGTTAAGGCCGGTATATTTCAGCATTAGAATAAGTGCGTTGCTTTGACAGTTTCATGTTGCTGTATTAATCAAGAATGGGATTTCGAACAGATGTACACATGCATCACATTACATATTGCGTGTGACTAACTCTATTTAAGGCATTTAAAGTTACTACATTTTGTTCTCATTTTTGCTTAACGGTCTTAGCAATCCATGTACTAATTTTATTGACAATTTGATTGTTAGTTTACTACAAATTTATGCGATTGTTCATTAGTGGCTAATACTGAAATATCAACATCGCGTTTCTCGGTGTCTAAAAGTTATCAGTTAACTACTGTAACAAAATTTAAGTTACTAAAGATTGAACGAGAGTCCTGTGTTTCATTATCAATCCTTATAACATATATACTAAGAAAAATTTCCAAATATTAAAGATTTTATGTATGAGAGCTAGATGTTCACTAGCCTAATCAAAGATGTAGGGCAATTCAAATGAGTAATTATATACGATCGAAAATCAATTCATTTATTACAACTATCCAACGACAAATCACTAACAAAAGATGAAAGTTAGAAATTTTCAAGTAATATACAAATACTGAACATTAGTATATATCAAATAGATATTCGATTCTTGAGGCATATTTCCAGAGTAAAAATAGGTATATAAATTATTTCAAGTAAAGGAATTATTGACGAATAAAATTTATGATAAAGTTTTTATCGAGGAAATATAAGGATAAGTGAAGCTAGTTATTTGTTGAATCTACTCTTGATTTCTTTTTCAATCATATACTATTACCAAGAAAAAAAATAAATAGGAATGGAAAAACGTTGTTATATATATATATATATGAAAACATGTGAATTGTAAAAACCTACCAATTTTAACGCGTTCAATAAAAAAAGGGGAAGTATTTGAAGGACCTTGTGCTTTTATTGTTAGTCCCCAATGAATTTCTGATACTCCAGGTCTTGATGACAAGCGTAATTTGCATTGTGAATAGTCTTTCAGTTTAGAGCTCATATCAAAAGATAATTTTGTTTCCGGAGTGACTTCAAGGTTGTAGTTATCTGCTTTACTAGCAGCTGGTTTCGACAAGGAGTCACGAACAATTTCAATTGGATTACATTTGGTAAAATTTTCGACAGAATTATCATTTGAAGAAGAAACATCGATTATTTTGTCCGTATTATTATTATTATTCTACAGACAAAATAAATATGATAATTATTAATTTAAATATTGATAAACTCTTATCTGTAAGAAATTTCAATCTGTTTCCATTGTTTGAAACATTTCGATAAGCTATCGAACTTGTTGTCACTTTTGCTATTAGACAAAATAAAAATTACCGAAGGATATACAAAATGAGAAAAAGTTGATTATAGTTTTAAGATTGGAACCTTTACACATCTGAGTACATATACATGATAACTTTTCATATACAGAGCTAAAATCTGAATTTTACATAGACCTTATAAATAGTTTCTTGGAAATATTCAACCACATAAAAAAAAACCCACAGTATATTACTGGCATTTACTGAAGTTTTGATTGTCTAGTAGTTTTTAAGCCGTTTAGTTATCTAAAATATCAGTTATTTCATTCAATATGTGGACTAACAGGTATAACACGACAACGCTATTGTTTATATGTTGTAGTAAAGAACAGATTTCGCGCGATGTTTCTGGTCTAATGAACATTGTTGAAGACCGATCTAAAAAGCTATTTCCATAATTAAATTACTTCGACAAAACAATCTGGAATAGTTTTCTTTTTATATCAAACTCAGGTAATGATAAAGGATAAACAACCATCATCACAGAACTAATCAACAAACGGCCTTAAAATCATTGAGCCTACTTTAGTGTTTTGGGAAGCTAACAAAATAAATGTTTATTGCCTCTTATCTGTTCAAAAAAAACTTTGATCTAACAATTTCATTTCATAGGTTGTCAATCGTTTTCATTACTTGTATCCTCTCTTATTTCTTAGTAATAAAATTGATTTATACAATAATATTTCATCTTCAGATAAAATACATCAACAATTAAATACAAAGTTATATTATTTGAAAAGTACAGTGTAAGTATATCACATGGATTTAGTTAGACCGCACCTTTTAGTACGATATCAAAATGTAGTGATGTAATCAACTATCTTAAACTACTTCTATTTCGAAATCGGGTTAAAATATTCGCAATTTTTAACATTCCTCAAATGAAAAAAAAAATGCGACCAGATAAAATTGTTGTGAATTTAAACAGCCTGACAGAAAAATATGTCACTAATTTGTCACTAAATATATATATCAGATTGACGTATAAACAGACTCTCCTAGTCAAACAATAAGATCGATTTTCAATAATATTTGAAATAATCAAATTTTAAAATACTTACAGAGGAGGAAACATCATAGGAAGGAATAAAAAGACTACTCTTAAAACACTACTTACTTGGGCCTTTGTTTTATTTTCAGATACAGGTGTGGAACGATTGGAATAGGCGTTTACATCGGTTCCGGAGTCGTTTGATTTAAAAAGATCTGAACTCTCTGTGAACTGGAATTTATTCATCGGAACCGATTGTGATGCTGGAACTGTATCCGCTTGAAATTTTTCAAAATGACTGATAGTGGGTGAATCGAAATCGCCGCCTGTTAATAACGCGACACCAGGACTGTTTATTTTTGGTGATGGAGCTAAATCCAAGGGGGAAACATGCTCATTGGAAATTAGATTACGTTGGCTTCTAGAATCAAAATAAAAATAATGAAAACAGTCAATTGCATCATCAAGGTTTCAATTCCTAAATATATATGATGTTCGATATTAGATAACTACAATAATAGGAGGAATGAACATGAAACAATTTGGATCATTGATCGCAAGATGAACAGCAGAAAATAGCATGAAGTATAACACTGCTAATGTTCAATATCGCACTGAAGAGCATTTTATCAACGATCATCCACATGATGTGATGAAACCTATCAAACACAGTATCTTCATCACATATGTATGTCACAAAAATTTCAACAACCCAGACGGGACAAAAGATCTAACTTTGGCAGTTGACAATTACAAACCGACTGTACAAAAGGAACTAGCTCAACACTTTTCTGCAACGATTATAACTCCAAATCTTATCAAACGCTAACTTTATTTTATAAACTTATCACTTTAAATTAACTAATTTTTTAGGTATTTTAAAGTATCTACTTAACTACAACATGTCGCTATTGTATTATTATTACTGTATCCAGAAAAACTTCATAAATCATAAACTTTTGATAGAAGCTTATAAAAATACTCGAGAGGTCCAGTTCTAATAAAGAATTTTTCATGGACTACTTAATTCCCGATTACTTTCGATTGTTTGCTCGTTTGGATTGGAAAATATTTTAAGTGAACGTACAGTTACTCATTTTACATACTTGGCTTTGCGTAAGCGATCTTTTACTTCTTCTTTTCGCCTTTCGTTCTCTCTACTTTCACGCTCTTGTAGTAAAGCGAACTTAGTTGCTTCAGTGCGTAAGGCTTGACGACGCTTTTCGCGCCAGACATCCAACTTCTAAAAGTAAACATAGAGAGAAAATAATTGAGAGGAAAACTGAAAGAATCTGGTGTTCTGTTTATTAATATGATTTATGATCGGTTGTAAAATCTACAACAGATTAGAAATCCGATCAGTCAGTAGAAAATAGCATAAACCTAAGGAATTTCATACACGATAGAAGATTTGACAGTAAGAATCAGATCAACAGTATAAGAAATCTGAAGTGTAACAGAAATTATGAGATTTAACTAGGCAGATAGTCGGGCAATGAAAGATATTTTTAAAAGACATATATCCATCATACGTGATGAAACTAATCGACACTAATGATAAGCGTAAAAAACTCACTGTTAGTATTCCATTTTTAGACAGTATTTAAGAATTTGGCAAGAGTATCTCCCTTATGGAAACGATTTAAATAATCACTATTGAGTTAGTTAATGAATACATTTGGCCTGTTTACATTTTGGGTTAATGTTACTTTTTCTACCTAGACTAACACTGTTACACATTTTGAAAATTAAGTGGGCATTAAATGGATCTTTACTTAGTTACTGAATTATATCCCTAATGTATCGTTACTTATCATTTAAACATAATTATTGGTACAAAGGGGCGCCAAAAAAATCAATCAATTTGTGTGTGGGCTGAGATACTGTTCAAGTGCCTAAAATGAAGCAGGCAGTTTTCTTAGGGAGCCACTCTCTGAGCCTTGGACTTAGAGGTATAATCCATAAGGTAGCGGGGCAACGTCAGTAGATGCAGTCTCATGCTAGCTGGTGACCAACAATGAGTTCATACGCCATTTACTTTATCGGGATCCCGGGGTCTATGTGCACCATTGGTTTGGAATCAAGGTTCCCCACAACTCCCCTAGGTGGATTCTCCGTGCCCGCCGGCCGGGTTTAAGCCTCCACCAGACATTCGATTTTTTTCCTCTCGATTTCATAAAAAGCATTCCCGCCACGAGAAGGCAATGAGTATGACTTCCCTGGCGGTAGCTATATACGCATGGCCTTATGAGAGCATTTGAAGTTGGAGAACGGACTCTCCTACTCTTGGCCATACTAGAGCTAACTAACTGTAATCGATCTTAAGCTTGTTGTCAAGTTAACTACCAACATAACAGCATACCGTGGCTACAGATATAAGAATTTGAGATGTCATAAAACTGTGATAACTGAGGATCGTAACCTTATACTATAATGAGGATCTGACATTTGTTAACCAACTCTGACAACAAAACGATGAGATAGACCGTGAGGAAAAAACTTATATTATGACTTTATTCAGTTATGAAACATAATTCGCCTAACATAAAACTAAATGATGAAGTTAAACAAATATCAAAGTGTATGTGTGATATTGTTAAGGTATCAACATTGCAATACCTTGTGTCACAGAACGGTGCTTTTAAATACGGAAAGTATGGTCATAGCAAGGAAAATACCAGTTGCCATATAAGTCCCTGAGAAAGATTAAAACATCTATGTGTTGTGTCGTACAAAAAACCAGAAATGCCAATAAGTGAAAATATTTAGCTCCATTTCTTTCTAAAAAAATAATCTCAAGTTTTGAAATCAGCTGTTTTTACTAACTTTCCTTAAAAAACATCAAAATGAAGATTTTTATGATCTAGATAAAGGATGAATCAAACAAAAAATGAAAATGATAAAAAATGATTGAATGTAACTACCGATTGCCATTCTTCTTCCTCCTCAAAACAATTATTATTTCCTTGTAGGTATTCTACACCAGATACTGGATGCTGCCGATCAGTAATCTTGAAATGTGGATTTTCCTCAAAATTAGGTGATGACGAATGAGAGATACTCATTGTTTGGCAATCAGGTTATTTGAAACTGATGAGACTTGGTAAACTAATGGGTATGAATAAAAATAAGAAAAATCGTTATCTCTTAGAATAGTGTTAACAGCTGATTTACGTAAGACACGAAAATGAAAATTAGTTATTGACCTTTATTAATTTTTGTATAAAATTCCCTGATAAGTATGTGTGACTAAACTGCTCGAAACGAATAACGCGAATAGATCACATTTTTCAAATCAATTCCATCTGCTCATTGTGCTATCTAAACTTATAAAAGGGATTAAATGATTGAAATATTCAAGCATATCATATCAAATCTTCTCCTGCTCAATGGGGTTTGGGACACTCGGACTAGAGCAACCTGTCGTATCGCCGGATCCTCGCTTTCGTTTACTGAAAAAGGTAGACTTGTAATAGTTCAAGCATATCAAATGATGTGTTTACGTGCATGCGTAACATTACCATGAAAGTTATTTATGCAAACTCTGCTTTGTGAAATAATAAAGTTATGGAGAACCATATGCCATTAGATGTAAAAATTTAATTAGCAAAATTTGTTTCACAACTCTTTTAACGTCAATCATGATTCGGTCATTGTTAGACCACCATTAGAAACCCGGAAGCCCTAGAAGACCGTTTCTTGCTAGTATGGGGCTCTTCAGAAGTGAACATCCACAACTCTCGCAGAAATCTAAACCAGGACTTTCGGTTTCACACGCAAACGCCCTGCACGAAAACCTCAGATTGATGAAAGTTAGGCATTAACACCGTCAAATATTCTCGATCCTCGCTCTCGTTTTCCGACTAGGTAAACTTGCAATAGTTCAAGTATATCAAAATGACGTGTTACGTGCAAGCGTAACAATAAGAAAGGAAAAAAGTCTTCTTGTGACAATCACAGGGGAATCAGTCTAACTAAAATAGTTTCTAAATTGTTAGCTTAGATTATACCTAGGCGCCTAACTAGAGCTCGTGAAGAGCAGACTAGAGAAAACCAGGTTGGTTTCAGACCTGGATGTAGACGTATAGACCACATCTTCACACTACGACAGGTCCTGGAACACAGACACACATTCAGGCGTGGTTCTGTGGCAGTGTCTGTCATTGAAAGGTGTACCAAAGAAGTACATTAACCTTATACAACCCTTATACTCGAACACTACAGGTTGAGTGATAGCTTATGGCGAACTGTCATGGGAATTCTCTAGTTTAAGTGATGTCCGTCAGGGATGTCCACTCTCTCCATTCTTGTTTAATTTTATCATAGACATGCTCTTAGAAAAAACCTGAATCCCTCATAATCTCCATCTTTCTCCTTCTAAATTTATCTCACTGAATTATACTTCTCGAATCATATCTTCGCTCCTTAATCTTCTCCATTACTGCTAATACTTCTATTATCGCTATCACTCTTGGATTTGAACTGACAGTTGCGTCTCTGTGCTGATGTGGTATGGCAACCTGAACTGATGTACTTACGTACGAAGTTCTGCGTTGTATCTGTGTCTGTCTGCTTGAAATATTGATTACTGAAATAAAAACGCATATGAGAGATGGTGACAAGAAAATGACAATTTGACGGATTTCGTTCATTTTATATCTAACGAAACGCAATTAATGAGAGCCTTTTCCGCCAGAAATATTCAATTATAATTATTAGTCGTCAGTTTTGAAAGCTTAGGTTTCATAAACATCCGTTGCGATCCAAATATGATTAACTTGGGGCTGAGTAATTGGTTTTAACACCACTGTTAAGAAAGGTAGTTTTTTGTAGCAAGTTAGTAATGTCAGTTAATAAAATCTCACATCTTATAATAGAATGCTTTCCCAAAGTAAATGTTGGAAGTAAATAGAATAAGTATAATGGATTGAAAGTGATGTACGCTAGGGTTTTTATTTCAAAAGGAGAATAAAACCGCTTTATATACTTCATTAATCAAAGAAACTAAATAAATACAGATTTTTCACGTTCCAGGTATCCTGATTACGATACAAAGATAGTGCTTAAAGAATAAGCATACGAGGAAGCTTACCTTACAGGCGATGATGTCACTAGATCCCCATAGACGTTAACAACAAGCTTTGACTTCGGCAAACACAGCTTCTTTACACAGAGAAGAACTACCAATGATCGACCTATATAAATGGGAGTATTATATGATAGTACGAATCGGAAAACAAGACGGTGAAGAATAATGCTTCAGACAAAAATCAAACCTGAAAAAGAAATACATGCATTGACTCATACTCTTTAAGCTCCTTATTAACAGATTGCACGGCTTTGGTTTATTCCTTTTAACCAGAATTTAAAGCAATTATTATTAGTAGACTGTCAGTATTCATACCTCTAATCTTCACCACTTAAAACAAATAACCCTACATTAATCCCCTATTCACCTTACCTGTGACTTGAGGTATCCGCTGAAATGACAGAAAGTATCAAGGCATTCTGAAGCCGTGTGGACAGATGATTACTTTGAAAGGCCGATTACTACGTAGTCAATGGAAATCAAGATGGCAGACTCACACTGTCCAAAACATTTTCGATCAACGAAAGTAGTGAATGCAATGATACAGAGGCAAATATTTACGCAGCCCAAAGAAATTATCGAATACGAAGCCATATACGTTATAAACCACGGCTATGGAGAATAAACTTAACATGTTGCATGTCATAAACACAGAGTAAGTGATATCCAGAAATTTAGATACCACAGCCACTTATAATAAAGGATTACAAAATTAACAAACATTGTAGAGGTTAAATGTTACCGCATCTACAGGCTGAGACGTAGCATTGAGGTAGCTGAGTTATTTATTATTGGTAAAACTTGTTTTTCCTTTTGGCTGTTTACATTCAAAACTACTTTTAGTTCTTCAGGGCTTAGAAGCTGTCATATTCCATGCACGATTTTCTCTCTTAACAATATATGAAACCAGAAAAGTTTCGAGACGGATATCGTGGCTACCAATTATGGTGTGAGGCATATGAACGTACACAGGTAATCGTTTTTGCAGTTATGAATGATTAAAAGTAGCTATTTTACAATCACACACGGAAGTTAATTAGAAAAATTTTAAAATATTACTGTACTTTGAAGAGTAGTATGTAATAGATTTAGATTCTTTTATCATATAGTTAGCCAGATCTTAAAATTCAAGATTACATATGACAACAGAGTGATTAGAAAGCACTCGTAGTGAATCAAGATTTTCCTATTCATGGGAAAAATAAAGGAATATGTCAAATGAACCAGTCATAAGCTAAACCTACATACGTCTTCGACCTTTAGATATTAACACCAATAAGACCAGAATGCTAAGTTCATCCAAGAAGTGAAAGAGTAACACTCAGGTACTTATGTAAATCCTGGCTGATTAAAAAAAACGTTTAAACTAGTTAGTTGTTCTTTCATCAACTATTACAAAGTGGAAGTTTTGTGGTACCACACAGAGGACGGGACTGCGTTATACAAAGTATTTGGAGTGCTCGTGACAAGAAAATTGAATCCTCAGACAGTGAAACTCAAACTGCAGTAGTCATGAGATTAGTTACAGTGCAAAGGGCTTAGTAATAGTAATCTAAACAACAAATGAACTAATGTCACTGTCATTTAAAAGTGGGGACAATTATATAAAATGGAACTTTTGGCTCACGCCTTCGAAGAATAACCTCTGTGAAATGGAGAGTTTTGATAGCTACTGGTTTTTTGTTGATGTCATTTACGAGAGGTTAGTTCGATCTGTGGTTAACATGACTTGGATAATATAGATAGTAAATAATAGGTAATTAACGATAGCGAGGTCGGTTTGTCCGTGAAAACACTCCTAAACACGCCTTCGTCAGAATTCAGCCATGATATTACAATAGGGTCATTGAATATTATTCCGTTGTTAATTTGCAGGTGCTGTTGATTTATAATTTTTTTATAGGGAATGACGTGTTGTTTAACAGTCAGTTAGCCACGTTCATACTTTAGAAATTACAAGGCTCGAGTGTGTCCAAATCTTATCTAATATTGAGTTTTTACATTTTGTTTACACTTGTTTGGCAAAGCGCTTTTCGTGGTTTGATATGCATTCTTTGTAATGTCAACATGATAGTGACTAATCTGTCAAAATATGCCACCAATATACCTGAGTCTTCACGACGAAGTAATAATCTGAGTGATATATAATGGTCAGTAATATAAGAGTACAAGAACTTGAGACAAGAAACCCGGTATTTATGACATTCAAATAGAATGTCATCAGTTCAGTGATAATAAGTACAAAAAATCAATGCGGAATATATATTCAAATTAATGACTTGTTTTCGCTATAAAATGGTTGCTTAATTTTACCAGGACTATGTATATCACAACCTGAGACTTACAAGGGTTCCAGAAATTGTTTTCTCGCGGGCGATAACAGAAATAGGTGATATTCTTGTAAAAAACTGACAAAATGTCTCTTTAAAATACAGATGTCACGGGACTATCAATACACATGATCTGTGTAATTCGAGGAAACGTATTCCACAACATCCTTGACGCTTGACAAGAGCGCCAGACGAGTGTTAGTATAGATTGATGAATGTAAAGGTATTGTTATTACATCCAAGATCCAATGCTTTCTTGACACACTACTTTCAATGGATTGATTCCTTTTCGCTTACTTCTTTTTGTTTAGGTTCGGTATATAGTGGTGTTTAGTAGGTGACAATGTGGTAACACGACCAACAATTCTACTCAGTTTGCCAATTATTTTTAGATTTGTATGTCTTGTAATTCGAGTGAATGGGTTTGTCTCTGCGCACTAGGGGTTATGGATACCAGCGGATATCACATTATAAAGATCCAAATCAGTTCGCTGCAATGCGCACAATAATAAACAAAAAAATTTAATGCCGAGAAGACGAAAGTTTCATAAATAAAATAAACCAATTATTTAGTCTCTAGTGCAAAGTGTGAGGTGACACAAGTGTAAGGATAAAGAAGAAATCATAGCAATAGGCAGTATAGAATTATGTGGTTCCATGGGATAGCGATAATGATAACAACAAACTAGTTGGGTAACAATAAAATTGTTACTCAATTTTCTCAGAACATTATTTGTCACAACCTGAAACTTACAGGAGTTCTGGAAATTGTTTTCTCTTAGATGATAACGTATATAAATTGTATTCTTATGACAAATAGGTAAACAGCTTTATTTTACGATACAAATACCATGTCACTTTTGATATACAGAAGAAGAATAATCCGGGAACGCTGTGATGGTAAAAAACGTCTTTCACTATTGTAACAGCAGACAGTTTTGGACACATGTATAAGGCATAGCTATATCAAACGGAAGATAGTAATCGGAGTGTAGATGTTTGTCAAGCCTTCTTTTGAGGATATGCACTGAAGGAGCTGTAGCCACTTCTTCTGAGAGAGTGTTTCAGGAGGAAAGGCGGGGCCGTACATGAGAGTTAACCGGTTATAATGCACTTTTTCTAGGGTTACTTGGAGAACAACGATAGGATGCTTTCGCTGGAGTGGAGTGCCCAATAATGAATATGTCAACATTATATCACCTCTTATTCGCCATTAAGCCAGAGAGTATAGTCGTATGTGCTGAAGTCTAACATCGTGAGATTTACACTTCAACCCACTTCGTTGCTCGTCAGACTAAAACATTTATGAACTTTTAGTGGCGTGTCGAGTCGATCTGACTAATACATGCCCATCACAGAGAATATGACATAATCCATACGAAAGAATACATTTTCTGGCAATTTCGTGGTATCGAGAGAATATCGAAATCGTGCCAGAAAAGAGGGGCGAAATTGCAGAGACGTAAGAGTCAAAATGGCAACAACACAAACCGAAAGTTTACGCTAACAGCGGTAGTCATTAACAAAGAGGTTCAGTAAAACAATGACAATACAATCGGTTATAATAATGAGTGTTTCTTTTCGTGTTCTTTTCATAAAAGCGTATTCACTAAAACCTTATAAAAGTAAATATAACAAAATGGG